ATTAATTTTATTAAACCAAAAATAAATTATTTCATTATTAAACTTAAATTAAATTACAATAATAAAAATAAATTGAAGAAATTACATAAAAAAATGAGAACTTTTAAATAGTTGATTTTATAATAACATTTATTATAAAACATACAACAAAAACGCTTAAAAACAATTTTTTATGCATCAACTACTATATATTGATGCATTTTACTTAAAATTCAAGATTACAAGTAAATTATGCATAAATACAAATTATTAAAGCTTCATGTTTGAATTAGTATAACAAACTGCGGATAAAAATTATCAAATACAGGATATAATATCATTTTAAATATAAAAAATCTAAAATATAATTAGGATAATTATTGAGTTCTAACACAGTACTTAATTATTATCGTTATAAAATATTATATTATTAAAACAAAAATAAATTATTTCGTTATTAAACTTAAATTAAAAATATTACATAAAAAATGAGAACTTTTAAACAGTGGATTTGATATTAACATCTATACTATATTATAAAGTATTTGACAAAAACTATTAAAAATAATTTTTTATGAATTAAGTACTGTATAGTGAAACATATTACTTAAAATTCAAGATTACAAGTAAATTATGCACAAATACAACTTATTAAAACTCCATGTTTGAAATCGTGTAACTAACTTCGGATAAACATAATTCAATAAAGGATAAACATCTCATTTTAAAGTATACAAAATCTAAAATATAATTAGAATAAATTATCGAGTTCTAACAAAATAATTAATTATTATCTTTATAAAAAAATTATATTATTAAATCAAATATAAATTACTTCGTTATTGAACCTAAATTAAAATTATAATAAAAAAATTGAATTAGAAAATTACACAAAAAATAGGAATTTTAAATAATTAATTTGATACTAATATCGATATATTAGTGTCAAATTTTTATAATATCTTCAAAATTATATTTTATTCAAAATAAAAAAAAACATCACCACTTTTTCAAAATCACATAAGACATATTATAACATCGACTGATATAAACAATAAAATAACATATTAAAATCAAGATGTATCTCGCTGAATTGTGCGAGTACTCTTCTAGTTTATTATAAAGCATTTGACAAAAACGCTTAAAAACAATTTTTTAGGCATTAAATACTGTATATTGATGCATATTACTTAAAATTCAAGATTACAAGTAAATTATGCATAAATACAACTTATTAAAGCTCCATGTTTGAATTCGTGTAACTAACTGCGGATAAATATAATCAAACAGAGGATAAACATCTCATTTTAAAATATAAAAAATCTAAAATATAATTAGAATAATTATCGAGTTTTAACAAAATAATTAATTATTATGTTTATAAAAAACTATATTATCTATACTATATTATAAAACATTTGACAAAAACTGTTMAAAACTATTTTTTATGTATAAAGTAATGTTTAATAATGCATATTACTTAAAACTAAAKATTGCAAGTAGATTATGCGTAAGTACAACTTATTAAAGCTCCATATCTGAATTTGTGTAACTAACTGCAAATAAACATAATAAAATACAAGATAAACATTTCATTTTAAATATAAAAAATCTAAAATATAATTTGGATAATTATTGAGTTATAACAGAATACTTAATTATAATCTTTATAAAATTTATATTATTAAACCAAAAATAAATTATTTCATTACAAACTTAAATTAAATTATAATAAGAAAATAAATTAAATAAATTACATAAAAAATGAGAACTTTTAAACAGTGGATTTGAAATTAACATTTATTATAAAGCATTTAACAAAAACTCTTAAAAACATTTTTTTATGAATGAAGTACTGTATATTGATGCATATTACTTAAAATGAAGATTACAAGTAAATTATGCATAAATACAACTTATTAAAGCTCCATGTTTGAATTTGTGTGACTAAATGCGGATAAACATAATCAAATAGAGAATAAACATCTTATTTTAAAATATAAAAGATCTAAAATATAATTAGGATAATTATCGAGTTCTAACAAAATAATTAATTATCATCTTTATAAAAAAAATTATATTATCTATACTCTAATATAAAACATTTGACAAAAACTCTTAAAAACTATTTTTTATGCGTAAAGTACTGTTTAATAATTTATATTACTTAAAACTCAAGATTGCAAGTAGATTATATGTAAGTACAACTTATTAAAGCTACATATCTGAATTTATGTAACAAACTGCAAATAAACATAATCAAATACAAGATAAACATCTAATTTTAAATATAAAAAATCTAAAATATAATTAGGTAATCTTTGAGTTATAACAGAATAATTAATTATAATCTTTATAAAATTTATATTATTAAACCAAAAATAAATTATTTCATTACAAACTTAAATTAAATTATAATAAAAAAATATATGAAAGAAATTACATAAAAAATGAAAACTTTTAAACAATGGATTTGATATTAACATTGATATATTTTTTTAAATTTTTATGATATCTTTAAATTTATATTTTATTCAAAAATAAAATCATTATTGTTTTATTAAAAACACAAAATCGTATTATAACATCGACAAAGACAAATAATAAAATAGAATATTAAAATCAAGATGTGTCTCGCTGCATTGCGCAAGTACTCTTCTAGTTAAACCAAATTTAAATTACTTCGTTATTGCACCTAAATTAAAACTATAATAAAAAAATTGAATTGAAATATGAAAATTTTAAATAGTTAATTTGATACTAATATCGATATACATTTGTCAAATTATTATGATATTTTTAAATTTATATTTTATTCAAAAATAAAAACATAATCGTGTTTTCAAAATCACATAAGACCATATTATAATATTGACTGAGATAAAAAATAAAATGAAATATCAAAATCAATATATATCTCGCTGGATTGCACAAGTACCTTTCTAGTTGTTCCTAACATTTCCTTTTCATAAATTGATGGTCCTTTGAGTTAACATTGTTAATTTGAGATTCGTCAACCCTTTTCATGTGCCCCGTGCCCCTCACGCAAGGGGCAATTATGGCTTTTTTTACACTTATATGAAGAACAATCACCGCCTACCACCACTAGTCATCAAAGGACATTGAAAGATTTATAACCTCAAAATGCAAAGATGAAGAACGGAGTAGAAGCATGATATATGTCTTCTAAATTTTATATAAAGAACAGGATCTATATAAATTTTATGCTATTTATTTTGTTTATAAAATTTAAAAGACTTGTTTGTTCTGTCTTATCTTGTCTAATAGAGATGCTTTCATATCTATATATGATTGTTTTTGTTTTGGGAACCTGAATCTATTATGTATGAATTGGAACATAAAACAACGGATTGTTCTCTGACTAATTGCTTGATTTCTTAGTTCAAATCATCGTTATTGCTATCAGTGATACAAGAGTTTTCGATTCATACAACCTGTGTCGTATGTGGTTCAAGTGACCAACGTTTAAATGATGGAGAAGTACAAATATGTTAGCGGGAGGCTAGAGGGACACTATGATACACTGAGTCGATCCAGACAAGTCTTCTGGAGCTTACACAGGCGTTCAAATTGTTGGTGACAAATCAATCTGGGCTTCTAGTCCTGAACCTTTGGTCTCCTTCTTGGATTGATTTGTCAGCAACAATTTATCCGCCAGCAAGCTCCATTATACTTGTCAGGATAGACTTCAACGTATCATCAAGTCCCTCTAACCTCCGGCTGACCTCTTCATAGTTCTCCATCAATTGAATGTTGGTCCCTCAAACCATACACTGATAGCAACAATAGTGATTTGAGCTAAGAAATCAAGTAATCATCCAGAAAAAAAACCTTCATTGCTCTCTCTATTTCAATTCATATGTAATGATCCGAGGGCCCGATACAAAAACGATCATATATAGATCAAAATGCATCTCTAACAGAAACAAATCTAAGTACTAAGAAGATGTCATCTGACACTCCCGAAGTGGACATAAAACAAAATTATTAGTTCTTTTTATAAAACTCAAAAGACCCGTATCAAAGCAGACTTGGATGGAAAGTTTTCACCGGAGTGGAAACAAAATGTGGATGATGAGTTTCACCGTTCAAGTTCATTTGGGTCTGGGGTTCTTCAAGCAACTGTTCCCCTCAAAACCCTGTGGATGGTTCATTGTTCTTCAAGAAAGAGAGAAGGGGATGGGTTAACCTGTGGAGTTCAAAAGCCAGGACCTGCTCCATTTTCACCATTTGCAGGCGGTCGGAGAGGTGGAGAATGGGAGGGGAGGAGTGGGTTTTCCATTGCCGGAGAACGAGAGGGGGTCACAGTGAGGAGGAAACAGTAATGGGTCATGAATGTATTTCATTTAATAATAGTTTATTTTATATTTACATATAATATTGATTTGTATTTTATTTCTAAAAGAAGAAAAGGACTATATTGCGCTCATGTGCCCCTGACATGCCTCAACTTAACAGAAGCAATTTAACGGTATTAACTCAAGGGACCATGGGTGTTATAAAAATAAAAAGTTGGGTACCATTAGTGTAGATAACGCTTGAGGGACGATATGCAGATTTGGAGTAAACCACATAGACCAACGGTGTAATTCACACTAGGTTAAAAAAGAGAGAGGTTGTACCTTCAGATCAGGCAATTCAATAACACAAGCACACTCGACTATACTTGCTCCAACCCTTTCTGTAATAAATAAAAAAGAGAAGGATAATGTAACCATTAGCAGTAAAGTAATACTAACAGTATGTTAGAATTTTCACCACACAAAGAAAAACAAATATTCAAACCAAACGAGCTCAGTATATCCCACCCGCAAGTGGCCAGGTGGGATCTAGGCAAGTAAGATGTATGCAAACCTAACCTCTACCTGAAAAAGTAGAGCGGCTGTTTTTCATGAAAAGTGTGTGAAAGAGAAAAGGTTAACCCGAAAAGTTTGAGAAAAATAAGAGGATGACTTTGAAAAAGAAGAGCTTGAGACAAGAAAGGCAGATGAGAAACTAGTCATGAGTAAGCAATAACATACAAACAGAAGCTGATACAAGAAAAAAACATGGCCAAGGTAAGGAAACTATTTACCAAGCAGCTTTATTGCAGCCACCAAGGTTCCCCCAGTTGCGATTAGATCATCAATTACAAGAACACGTTCTCCCGCCTGTACAGCTCCAACGTGCATCTCCATTATGTCAGTCCCATACTCCAATGAATATTCTTCAGATATGACAGCTCCTGAAAGAACAACAAAGGCTCATGGCTTGTTATAACCTTAAAAGACTTATAGATACACATTATATAAGATACAATTGATATGCTGCATCAAACTAAATTTCAAGAACATCAAAATAAAACTAAATAAACAGAAGTGAAGGTGATTGGTTCTTTTGCAGAGTTTGATTTAATTGGTATCAAGAAACCCTTATAAAACAATGAAGTTTGAAAAGAGAGTCATGACAGGGCAGTGAAAATATGATAGCATGCAACCTGCTAGTGGGAATAAATTTTGAACACTTCGAACATCTAAGCAAATAAAAATGATGTTTCCTACGCTGCTGAGTACAGGTAATGATTAATAGAAGACGCTTTTACATGCAAATACAATTAGCCAATTCCAAGTGATTGGCAAAGGTTGAGGTATGTTGTAGCATTGCGTTAATAGCAACGCTACTACAAATTTGTAAAATGAATTGTTGCTGAATGTATAGTTCTAATTAAATTTTAGTAATTACTCTATAAAACTTATGCTACTCTCTCAATAGGTTAGACATGTCTGTTTAGCTTCAAATAATTCGTTTGCTTCCTTTAGATTATGCTTCATGCTCAATGGGAAAGAAGTCCACAAGAACAATTGCCACTCCCAAGATTCTGACCACATACCATAGGAATGTTCATCAAGTTGCTAGCAACAAACCTTGAGGGCCACCTCAACTGGCAAATAAAAGCAAGGCCTAGGGCCCTCCCCATGGGTCGCCACTTCGACCCTCCTTAGATCCCCATGGGTTTTTATCTTCAGAGTCCCATGGGATTAGTCAAGGTGTGCGCAAGTTGACCCAGACACTCATGGTTAAGTTGCACACAACAAAACCGCTACATTAATATTACACATGCCATGCACCTGAAAATGTGTATGCTCTCCAGATCGATGAGATGACCACGAATCATTTGATTCTTGTTTTTTAAAGTATATAATATATTTATATATGGCAAATACTCAAACACACACTCATTCTTTGGTGAACCATTTGATTCTTGAACTAAAACAATGTAACTGTATGCTGAGGTATATTTTTATTATAATGATGCTGCGTAAGGTGCAAAAAGAAGTGGTAGATGTTACAAGAGTCATAATAGCTTCTCTTTACGTATTTATCTTTTTCTTTTTTGCTGATTGCTACACTACCCCCTATTAATTTCACCTATACCAGAAGTAAGAGGCAGCCAATGATTAACAAAATGGGGTCCACAGAGGAGAAGAATAATTAGTCTGTTGAAATTGTTGCTTGGGGTTATTCAGGGAATTTTATTTCTTCAAGTTATGCTTTCTAGTATAAATTAGCCTTTGGTAGTGGAGAATAAGGCAGGCAGAACTTTACCTGGTTCTTGAGTGGAGAGTCTAGCCTCTCGAATGCTAGGTATCCCGTATAGCTAATACCATTCCAACCATTTGGCTGTCTAATCTTCTTTCATCCTGTTTTATTTGTGCGATTTGAGTTGGTTATTAGCACTGATCTTCATCTTTTTATTACCTATTTAACATGTTTTCACCTTTGATGAATATACTTTAAGCTCCTAACGTTTCATGGGATCAAAGGCCCAAAAGGGGGGAGGGAAGCTGCCTCTATGCCTCCACTGCACCATCAACTGCCACCATCACACCACAACTCCATCTGCAAAATGCAAACACTAACTGCAAAATAACTGAATCGCCCACCAACTGCCATTTGCAAAAGATACAGCTGCCAGCTACCCTAATTACCAATCCCACCAGCTACCTTGTGCTGTCTGTTTGTTAAAAATCTAGCCGCCGCGGGTCAAGACCTCCACCCCATCTAGACATTCCTATGTTCATAGCCTTGCTCAAATCTCGTGGCTAATAATCTAATAGCAACTGAATCCCTCTAGATTAATTGAAACCCTAGCTGCCACAGCTGAAAACTAGAATCGCAACTAAAACCCTAATCACAACCCTTGAATCATAACTGGCCTTTTTGCCAGCTAATTCTAACTCGATTTTGTGTCTTGACTGCTTGATGCTGGCTCTATTTTGCATCTGAACCTTCTGATCTACTGAAACTATCTGATCGGCTGCAAGTCGTACCATTGTTGCCCTTGTTTGCCGTCATACTTCCCTGCTGGTTGTATGGCACAACCTTCTTCTGTGTCTGAGATCCATTCTGCAATGAAGACTTTTAACTTTTTGGCACACCAGTGCTACTTTATTTTTGCTTTCTTCTGCTGAGTATCCTGTTAAATTAGCCTATTTTCCATCATAAAAGAGAAGAATGATGCTAACATGAAGGTATTAGTTGGGGTTGTAAACTATAATGAAAGTTTCCGATTAATAAATGCCTCTCATTTGGATCCACTAGTCCATAGTCTCCAAAGTGTGTTATAAGGTTGCTCCCTGGACCCTCAATCATGAATGACCAAGGAGTGAAATGCTGATGATCATGATGGGATTTTCAATCCATATGCTAAAGTACGTATCCCCTCCGTCCCAAAAGTTTATGTTTGGCCCAAAGTAAGTGTCCAGTTCCAAAAATAGATAACTATTCAAATCTACTTTGAATTTATGCACAAATATTTAAGAGTGGTGGAGAGATAAATGAATTAAGGGTGAAGTTGTCATTTGATTAACTAAAAAGTATAATAATTATACATGCTAAAACTGTTGCCGCTTCTATTGTGGACGCTTATTTTGGGACCAAGAGAATATCTTATTGGCCTTGAATGGATGCAATTGATTGGACTATGATGGTCTTCTGTAGAAGTTGGTGGCCTTGCTTGTTTGCCATAGACTAAGCAAGGATATATAGCTATCAAATACACAAAAAGAAGCAAAGGCTCATTCATAAGATAGCAAAGGAAGCAGAAATATTTTACCAACATAAATATCAAGGTTTATGACTTATGTAGAGATGCATTCTTATCAACATTCAATAGAAGAGCTAATTTTGGTGGTCTTTCAAGTAAAATTCTAATGGCCTCGTTTTGCTGCATAGATTAATCAAAGGTTATATAGCCAACCAATGGTACAGAAAGAAACAAAAACACTTAAAGTTGATAGGTAGCCAAATATGGCAGAAAAGATGTACCGGGTAACTTGTTAGGTTTTCTCATAGGAACGAATTTTGCACCAATGGCCAATGCAATGGGAGGACCAAATATGAATCCTCTTGCTTCAACGCCTGCATTATAACATCAAAATCAGTCCATACTATAGGTTTATCAGTAGTGCGCTGTGAGCAAGTTAAAAGTAGACTCAATAGTCAATAGCAATCAACATAATGATATAGAATGTCCCCACAACACCTTCAGGAAATGATTATTTTAGGTTCGAAATGAACTGTGAAGAAAATCCAATAAAATAACTTTTCTTAAATGTACCAGACGAGCTTTTGGCATTGTAGATGTCGTTTTTAGAATATAGAATTGCTAAAACAATTCCAAGTGAATTAGCGTACATATCTAGATGTCCTCTTTACATGCTTGGGTAGTGAACATCCTTAATCTATACATGCCATCTTCTCATAAGAACATAGCACGGTGTCTATATAATCCCGTTCTAGTGATGCAGAAAAAATGGGAAAAGAGGCATTACTTACTTCACATAGTCTCAGATCATGATCGGGTGCTTTGATGTTTCTACAATTATTTCAGGTAGCAGAACAAAACAGTGTCACTGGTCACAGTTCGAAAATGACATTTCCAATTTGCCAAGTTCCAAAGTCGAAGGCACAAATCAACTATAACTTGAGTTGTATCACGAAGAATGTGTATGTTTACTAGCTTCTACTACAATAAGGTCTTATGCTAAAAAGCATTTGGCATTATGAATGTATATGCCTTCTAGCTGCTACTACAATAAGTTTCCGCTTATGCAAAGAAGCATCTGATAATTATAAAATACTAAAAAAATAGCAAGATTTCATTGATTGGCCTGTGCCCTGTAGTGTGATAGAAATGTCCATATTCAAACCAGCCAAACTTAGAAACATAGGTGTAACTTCTTATCTCTTAGCTATTGTCTATTACGTGTAGGCAGGAATGGATGCACAATTGGGATGCCCACAAGAATGGAAAAAAAAAAAACCATTACTAACCTGCTTACTTTATTGTTTAAGGCAGATCTATGTCAACCGCCAAACTTTGCCATCAAACCACAATTTCTTTTTATGGGGTGTTGGTGAAAGCTAATGTATGGATGCTCACTTTAGACTCGCACTCCTTTCTTCAAAAGAAGATGAACCAGTTAGTTTGATGCTAGGTTTGACGATTTCGATATACTTACTCTATTATCTCTCTTGTAAGCTGAAGATCAGTCCTGAGATGATTAAGGCCTTAACCAAACCAACATGCTGCACATCCTTTTGTGGTACTTTTGCAATTACAGCCATCTCATATTGTTAATGGTGTGTAGTCTTTAATGTATTCTTTAGAGATGCTAGGTTCTTAGCTTGCAGCTACCATATACCCAAGTCTTTCTAATTTCTACATCCTTGCTTTTGGTACATGCTAAGTTTATCCACCAAATGTAAAAAGAAAAAATCAGTGAGTTTCAAAAGACACATGTCAGAATGGAAGTGGAGTTATTTTACACTATAGCAACTTCTCATTTGAGGTTGGGAATGCTTCAAGACTTGGATTGAAATAAATTACATATTTTCAAGCTTTTGTTCAAGTATAAATCATTCAAGGAAAAAGGTCGGAATGAATATGAGATATTTCACATATAGCTTTTATTAGATGATAATGTAGTGATATATAGCCGATAAACACTACAGCTGTCCTGAGTATGTAATATACATATAATATAAGTGTGCAGCAAAGACAAGTCCCCTACGTATGAAAAGTTGGAACACCATGGTCCTTGCAGCCGCCATGCTAAGAGGTGACCACGAGATAAATGATAATATACCAAAAAAACACGCTCATTTAGCTGAGAATTGAATTCTGAGATTCATTCAATTAACAATGTCCTATATTCTTTTATAACCTTTAAGATCGTCGAATGATAAGCACCCAGGAATCTTATCCTGTTCCTTGTAAATTATGATCCATTCCCTCGAGAAAAATCTACGCAACCTCATAAAAGTTGAGTTATCAACTTGGATGAGTAAAAACTTTAGTAGAACACCTTCGAAAAGAATATAATACAAGAGGGAAAAAGACACGAAACCATTCTGTTAGCAATTACAACTTGATATAGGCCTTGTTAAATTTAAAACGACTTCTTTTCCATTTATAACAAATTCAAATGCAACTTGCACATTGTCCTGAAAAACTTGTGAAATTCACATTAATACCCAACCTGAAAATTAGTACGTTTGACCTCGAGATCAAAGGAGAACTCTTGTTCTTGAAACAGGACTATCATGTAAAATAAAGTTTTTTAACAAATCATTAGCAGGACTCTACCAATTCACTGATCCCACCTTTATTTCGACAGTGAAAGCATTACAGACTAAAAGCTCAACAAATTCATGTCTCAACTAAATACCATCAGCGCAAAAGCACGGTAATCTCTATCGTAACATGATTCATTAAGCACAAGTAATCTTCAAAAGTATTTTGAACCACGAAATGGACATAATAACGTCATAAGGAAACAAATAAATTAAGCCTTAACAATAGGTGAAAAGGGGAATTTACCAGCAACAACGGAGATGTCTTTCCCTTTGTATCTCTCGATGAACAAATCAATCGAATCCTTAAACGCCACTGGATCAAGCAACAGCGTCGTAATATCTTGAAACATGATCCCTACACACACATAAACCTCAATATTCCTTATCTCGACATTCTCATGACATCAGTATATGCGAGATCACTTGATTTCTTTGACACACAGTTAAAAGTGTTAGTGTGCATACCAGGTTTAGGGAAATCCGGGATCACGCGAATGGAAGATGAAATACGAGAAATGCGATCGTCTTTGACGTCGACATTTTTCTTATGATCAGGTGCCGCCATGTTAGAGAAGCACTTCACTTTCAAGTCGGTACGGACGGCGGCGATGGTAGAGTAGAAACGTCGGCCGGCGGTTTCTCCTCTTGCCAAGGCGGAGATCGACGACGGTTTTACGGAGGTGGGTAAGGAGGAGGTCAGTAATTTTGGGGAAATGACGAAAATGCCACTAGACAAATACCTAAGCGTGTTCATCATGAATGAGAATTTTTCGGAGTAAAAAGGGGTTGTGACTTATAAACGTAGGATTAGGTATTAAGAAAAGCCAAATAAATAATAATAAATAATAATAATGATTTTGTTAGGAGGGTTTTTGTTTGGAATGATTTGTTTAGGGATGGAAAGAGAGTGTTTTTTTAATTAGGAATGATAGGTTTGAAAAGAAGAAAAAACTTGGTTATGGCATAAAACTTTCCCCTGAAAGCTTACTTAATAAGACAATTTTTATATCATTAAGTCACTATCAAGCAGTCGATAGTATTGAATGCTCCTTCCATCCAAGCATGATAGTTGCATTTTAGGGTCAGAACTCAATCAGGATAGTGAATTAGACTCGGCCTATGTTGGCCTTATACATCCGGAAATATTCTTAAATAATAGGGCCACGGTCGTGGCGTTGGGCAGAAAGCCGATGATTTCGACGAGGCCCTCCCCTTTAACCCGAACAACCAGATTAATTACAAGTCATCCCCTACATCCGAATCCTTTGACGGACACCAGAGAAGTTAGTTCTTCGCCTATCACATTGGTCGACTTGAACTTCCCTCTAGTCCTAGAATCACTACCTCTTTAAACCTCTGATGAGAAAGTCGTAGGTGAAAGCGGTTCACCCATACTCATTCAAAAATGGAATAATTTGTAAGTCTCATTAAACTGTTAATAAATAGACCCTACGTTTGATACACATGACTGGATGGAATATAATGGAAAAAAAAACTTGTTTTGTATTTGTGCGACATTTAAATCGAAGCCATACAGGTTTGAGTTAGACAAAAAAAATGTTATATCAAAATACGTGGAACGAGATTTAGTGAATTGAGATAAGATTGATAAATGAGTAAGGTCATTGTATCAAATTAAAACCTTAAAACTTTTCATAATTCTTTCGCTCGCTTACCCTAATCTCGTCCGTCCAATCTTATCTAGTCTCGTTTGCATACCAAGTACACCCAAAAAGAAGAATAGGAAAGAAGATAAAAACAAAACCACAAGGGTTGTGGTTTGGTGTAGTAGTTGAGGTCTTGAGGGATGTGGTGGAATATCTCATCAGTCCAGGGTTCAATTCCAGACATGCACAATAATTGTGGCCATTGAGTTTATCATGATTGGTTTCTTGCAGTCACAATTTGTCGGAATTAGTCCATGCATAATATGTGACATCTTTCCAAAAAAAAGAAGATAGAAACAGAAAACCAAAACAAAAACGAATGCAAAAACAATGGAGAAGAGGAAAAGACACATTTCTTTCTGGTTCAAAAAGTGACTAGCATTCCTACATCTAACGTTTAGCTAAGTATCACAGAGAAAATTTACCAATTACATAAGTTTGTATCTTGAGTAATGATTACAAAATTACCAATCACAAGGTTATTAAGATGATGACACTGAAGTTGGTCATCCAAACAAACATAGTCGTTAACATTCATCGTCGCTTTATAACCATAACTAGTATAATAAATGATGCATCGTTTAACAGAGGTGGACCTACAAAGGCCCCAACAGGGTCCTGTATACCCACTCAACTTACTTTTGTGAGTAGAATAATTTTAAAGGATGAAAGGTTCACACACTGAACTTTGAAAAAAGCTATGAAATATTTAAAAAATACAAAACTTATCAAACAAAAAAAATCCATCGAAATCAACCAAAATATATTTCTTACAATCAGTCAAAAAACTTAAAATGTCAAAAAAAAAAAAAAAAACCTTATAAGCGATGGATTATTTGACTTATTCTTAGACCACATGTCTTTATTAATGGTCCACTAGAGCACGTGCATTTAATGTTATCTTTTTGAGTAATTTCATTCAATTGCTGAATGCAGAAGTTCATATTGTCAAAAAAATTACACGTGTCAAATGAACATTATTTCATCGTCATCAATCGATCGTCCCACGTGAGACGTGATGTTATAAGGGTTTCTTCTAGATTTAGCTTCTCAATTCTACTTGTACTTTTCTTTTTATCAGATACAATATTATTTTGAATGAATATTTATTTAGTACTTTTCAAAATATCTCCTTAAAAATATATATTTCAAAACAATATATTTTTATGTGTTATTATTATTATTAAGTAACTTTGGTTAGACGAATTAAACAATAGTTAATAAAATTGAAAATAAAAAATATTTATTTAATTTTGTATAATATAATAGATTCTTTCAAAAGTCCAAATTTTTATTTCAGATTGAGTCAATACAAAACACGATTAAAGTGGACTAAACCAATCATAAAAAAAGATACAACAACAAAGATCGACCAAGACTAAAACCGAGACGCCAGCAACCGGAAAGACTCAAGACGCCGAAGAGGGTATTAAAAACGGAGCAGTAAACCAAAAGCCCTGCAATATAATGCCTTTTCGCATTCTTCTTGAGATCCAGCCATAAGATCTAGCTTGAATATTTGCGAAATAAAAAAAAATCCACAGATGTATAGTTATTCCAAAAAACAACTTGGTTACGATGTTCCCACAACATATATGCCGCAGACCAAAGAGTAGCTTGCCACACAAATTTCAAGCAGGTCGAAGCCAAAGGTCCACCCGGATGGTTTAAAATCTCACTTGCTAAATTCCCAAGATTGTCGTTGATCTTCCACCACTAAAAAAAGCATGACCAAACTCTTGAAGCTAGTCTACACTTTAAAAGGCAATGATCTTGAGTCTCTTGATCATCTTTACAGATCGGACATAAAACAAGATCCAAAAAGAACCCTCGTCTAACCAAATTGGACCTTACTGGAATGTCGTCTTTGAGTACCCACCACACAAAAATGTTTACGTTCCTCGGAACCAAAGAGTTCCAACAGGTTGACAAACAAGATCCATCAAAAGACAAATAATTGTACCCTATTACATTCCTCAATTTTTTCACCGAGAACTCCTCGTTGGCATCCAAACTCCACCGCCCTTTGTCCCTTTACTCACGAACCGGATGAAAATTCTGAATTAAATTAAGCAGTTCAGAAAGTTCATCTACCGCACGACCACTCGAATTACGGGTCCAGTCCCACACCCAAACCCAATTTCCATCTACCCATTGACCCCTAATCACAACCAATATCTTAGAATCTTTATCGAGTCTAAAAAGACGTTGAAAACAGTCACACAAACGGCAATTATCCACCCAATTGTCAAATCAAAATTGTATGATTAGAATCTAATGTAGTGGTTAACTTGTATTTGTTTTTAAATGTGCTTATTTCACATGTACTCGGTTCACAATACAAGTCTTTTTGACATGTTTGTGAAATAAAAAACACACGTAAGAAAAATTCACATCGTGAATTAAATACATAAAAAACATACACATTATGAAACAAATAAAACATAATAATTTGAAATATTTTATATATTTATTTGCTTTTTTAAAAATATAAGATAAACACGTTTTTTTAAAATCAATAATAAAAGAAAATAATATATAGCAAATATAAACATATTTTAAGATAATATTTTTATTGTCATTTTGTACAAAGTTAAAGGATCAAATTAAAAAATATAAGTTTGTGTAACAATCATACTAATTTTTTTTATTAACCTGGATATTCAACCCGCTATATAAACCGACTAATTTCAGAACGACCATCTGCTTTGCAGATAGTCCGGAGTCACCACATTTGAATCTCCATGACCACAAGGTAATTGTTATTTCTCCTTGGATTTGAACCTGAGACCTCTTGATACTTTTGACCTTTGGAGCCAAGCTCAAACCAATCAGACACCACCCTTATGGTTCAATCATACTAATTTATGGCTCGAATTAAACGATCATACTTAAACTCATTCAATTTTAAACTAAATAAACTTCATTTACAAAAACCGAATAAAATAAGCACGTCTTAATAGTTAAGCCACTTGAATATGCATTTTCAACGTGGTTGTAGTGATAATTTATTAATTTAATAAGAAACATATGATAAGTCCTAACAACTTTTGAAAACCGACGATTTCGTCAACCACTTGACGATCTAAAATGACTATTCTATCCATGGATTTATTTCATACAGTTAGAATATTTGCATATGTAATAAATAAGTATTAATTTTTTTTATTAACAGGTCCCACTATATTAAATTTCCTAATTATTATTCTTTTCGTTTTATCTAAATGTCACTATCTTTGGAAGTGACACCTTCCCAATTTACGGATATTGTTAAAAGAGAAACAAATTTACAATTTCTGTCCAGGTCCGTAAGTGGCACATTCAGGACTTGCGGACCTGGACAGAAATTGCAGAGGTGCCATTTGCAGACCTGGTTTGAAATTGTAATTTTTTTGCGTTTTAGCTGCTTCCGCAAATTAAGAAGGTGACAATTGCGGAGATGGTGACATTTACGTAAAATTGGGAGATGGATGGCTAGGAGGCCAATCCATAATAAAGAAATGATCATTTCCGTTCATTTCCTTTTTAAAAGTTTATTAGCTATTTACAGACTAGTGATTGTGATGACATATAAGTGGTGTCACTGGGCCTGTCCGTCATGATCACGTCTTTATTTTTTATCATTGGAATTAGTAATTTGTCTATCCGATAAATTCAAACGTTTTGTTTTTCTGGAAGGAAAAAAAATATTACCTCTTTATCTTTTTGACACAAAGTATTTAGGTTCTCACTATAATAAAATTGGGTTTATAGGACATTTCGAATTTTTAAGCGTCCTAATAAACCTCTTTATATGACTTAATTTATATGACCAAAAAATTAAAGTGTCATATCTAAAGGTGTTGTTATAAGTTTATATGACCTTTTTTGACGTTGTAATAAGTTTTTTAGGATACTTTTAATATAAAGCGTTTCATTAGCAACTTTATAGGACACTATTTGAAAAAATGTCCTATAAAAATAAGTGTCATATAAAAAATGAGTTTATAGGACATTTTCTCAAAAGTGTCCTATAAAGTTGTTAATGCGACACTTTTTATTAAAAATGTTCTAAAAAACTTGTTAAGATGTCCAAAAACGTTATATAAACTTATTACAACATATTTAGATATAACGTTTTTTATTTTGGTCCTATAAAGCGGTCTATTGGGACGCTTAGAGATTGGGGGGTGTCCTATAAACTCAATTCTGTTGTAGTGTCTATTTAGTAAATTAACTGACGTTAATTGATAGATGATATGTTCGTCAATTTTGGTAAAAAAATGTTCAGAAGCTAAATGAGAAATGCAAAATTACCCAAAAAGTAAATGTTAAAAAATTAATCAATTCTAACACGGGAATATGATCAAAAAAATTCCCAATAGATTTAATCATCTTAAAATAAATAGTAACAAATATAAGTAAACTTTCAATTATTTAGTTTTAAGAGATATTTCTTGCATTTCCTGTTATCTTTGTAACGTTATTACGAATTTCTCAAATTTTTGAAGATTGTGATACGAAACAATGAAACAAAAAAAAATCAAGAAGCTTGAATGTCCGATACATACCATTTCTTTTTCTCGGTGTATATTTTGATTCCACGGATGAAACAAACGCATTTTTCATATATGACATGATTATATGATATAGAAAGGTAAGATCGACTTAGCATTAGAATCTTGTTGGCCTTTGGATTTTTCCCGTTTGCTGAGTAAATATATCTCTTGGATAATCATAATTTGGTCTTTTGTATTTTGATATGCATTGAAGGCCATGTCTTTGTGTGTTGCTATTTACACACCAAACCATTCGAAGATGAAAAACTTAGCGCAAAGTGCACCGAAAGGAAATCCACTATCTACTTTGCCAACCTCTTACATTATTAGTGGAACTAAGACTGTAATTTTGGTAAGTGGTAGTGGAAGATAAAAAAAAAGTCATTCTAAGAAGAAATCAAGTACATAACCTTGTATTCCATTTGGAAAATTTCTGAAAAAAATTTGAAGAGATGGAAGAATGAAGTTTTACCCTGCTGTAACTTGAAATGGATAAAAGGGTGAATCTAAAAAATTAGCACGAAAACTACTGCAAAAAGTATTTAGGTCAAATTCGAAGAACTATCCTCACGAATTCAGTTAAAGATGGATAATGGGGGTAATAAAGGGTTATTTATGGAAAGAGGTTGACGTGTGGGTGCTCCGGTCAGTGGAATCCTAGTTTGAAAAATGAGATGAAGGTTAGGGACTCATGTAATTATTGCCACAAGCCTAATTATTGGGTGAAGAATTATCCCAGGTTGTTGAAGAAATCAAATAATGAGGCAACATCGTCATCATTAGCTATGGATGATGATCTACTTTAGGCCATGATTATTTCTTTGTCGAAAGGCACCCACAGTTCTCATTCGACGCGTTTGAAGATCTTATGATACTCGTTTGGAGCTATATATGCTTAATTCGTTGGAGGACATTTGGATTTTGATGATTTGGTTTCATATCAATCAAGGGTATTCATACAAGGTTGAGTTCGGACTCATGTTCATGTTTGGATCACACATGTTGTTTAGCATCAGTATGACGTATTGAAAATATGATATGAAACAACAAAATTACAAAAACTAGAATTCAAGAAGATGTGGACATCCACAAATGGCCATCTATGGACGTCTTTTGATGAACCATTTTTTTGTCCTGATGCCCTTTTCGATTTCATGAATACAACAACAACAGTTTTCATTTATGGCATGATCGCGTTACACATAGAGGCACATCCAAATTTTCATGTTTTAAGATTGGAATCGTTTCGGGTTTCTTCCATACGTTAAGCATCTATACCCGTTAGATCCCTTACAACTTTTCACGAAAGAGAACACACATGGAAAGGATTGGTTTTAGCTTTGAGAAGTTGCATTCAATCTATAAAAAGGTTCGTAACCTTTCTTTCAGTGAATAAAGATCATCCATTCATGTATGAACATACACTACCTTTTGGTACTGAAACCACAGTAAATCACTGATTTATTTACATTCACTTTCTTTATATATTTTATTACGTAACGTTATCATCTTCGTTATTATTTCCTATCCAAGACTATTTAATTAACATTCCTTTGTTGGTAAATGCTAGATATTCGTTCTTGTTTTCATATAAAACTTGTAACCTTATTCTTCATGACCGTACAATTTAATTCCATAATTACCATGACTAAAACTTGTCGCACTGTCTAATTCTTTCATAAACATTCACGATGTTTGATTTTAGACAAGCAAAGAAAATGCTAACGATAGGACTATGAAAGTAAGGTAGCAGAAACTGAATGATAGATTTTTAACAGGGTTTTTGATTATTATTGTAAAATAGAAACAATATAATTAAAAAAAACCGAACCCATTAAACCTCCAACGTTATTTTGATATAGCTTTCGAAATAAATAATTTATATAATTAATAATAAATAATCAAGTGTGTATATTTAATCTTAGTGAAATAGTTGTCAAACCCCACTAAACATAAACAATAACAAAGATACATGAATCTAAGTAAAACATGGTTCGTTGGTTGCTGCCGGCTGCGCCACCACCGGCGTACTCGGTTTCCAGACTTTGACTCAGACCCGGTCTTTAGTCAAAGTCCTCCCCCATTACTTGTTAAATTTACCAAAATACCCTTCCTAGACAACTCGCAGAAGCTTCATTCCAGTCCATTCTTTGTGGTACACTTGATGCCACCACTTGTCACCTACGTAATATTCATAAATATTAAATAATAGATAAACATAAAACGCACACACATTGTGTGTATACAAATTTACCCATTATTTATCCTTAAATAACAGACGATAAAATATATATTTGTATACAAATAATTAAAATTATGTTTTGGTTTTATATATGTATTTTACATTTGTATGTATATGATAAATTGCTTACAAATTATTTATATATAGAGAGAGTTCAGATAAATAATTATCAGGGTACTGATCGATTTTTTTTGTGATTTTCTTTATTTATTTTTAATAGATTAATTTAATTAAAAAAAATTGGGCTACTTTCCTCAAAGTTATCACGCAACTTCCTATCCTCTTCACCACACGCCACCGCCAACCTCCCCTTATATACCTCACTCACTCTCTTCACTCAATCCACACCTCCACCACCACTTCTTACTTTCTCTCTCTAGATCACAACCACCGCTACCGCCACTACCACCACCGGGCCACCGTTAACTACAATTCTGATGGCCGTTGAAGCTTTGAATTCTCCAACTACGGCAACCACACCTCTATTCAGGCAAGATTCCGGTAGGTATTTGGAGTCATGGACCAAAGGGAAAAGAACAAAAAGACCACGAGTGGATCAACCACCGTCGGAGGAAGAGTATCTTGCTTTCTGTCTTATGCTACTAGCACGCGGCGGCCGTCCTGATTCTGCCTCCGGGTCACCGCCGCTGCACCGGGAGAACTCGCCGGCGCTTAGTATTGTCCCGCCGCAGACGCAACTTGTTTACAAGTGTAGTGTTTGTGATAAGGCTTTTGGGTCTTACCAAGCTCTTGGTGGACACAAAGCTAGTCACCGGAAAAACAATCCGGCTGCCGTCGTAGCTGACATCGAACAAGCGGCTGCCTCCACCTCCACCGCCAGTGCCACCCATAGTGGAGTCGGTGGCGGAAGGAGTCACGAGTGCTCTATCTGCCACAGGTGTTTCCCCACCGGACAAGCGTTGGGTGGACACAAGCGGCGYCACTATGAAGGGGTTATCGGCGGCGGTCGTGCCACCAGCAGCGGCGTCACCTCATCGGAAGGCGTTGGTTCCACCAACAGTCAACGCGCGTTTGACCTCAACCTCCCTGCCATGCCGGAATTTCTTCCGGGATTCGCCGACGACGAGGTGGAAAGCCCTCATCCCGCCAAAAAGTCGCGACTTTTTCCGCCGGTGAAGCTCGAAATCGCCACCCGCCATTAAATTACCGATTACAGATTCTGGGTTTTCGATTTTAGGAGATTTATGATTAGAAATTCGTTGCAAGATTGTTGGAGTAGAATCATTTTGATACAGAAATCGTTCCATGTAAATAAAAGTTGAATTTGATTAATTTTTTTGCAATTCGAGTGATGGATCACGATTGTTCTACGATTCACCGGAATATCTTGTATTTTACGCAATCTTCACAATTGCGTGGCGTATAATCAATTGACCATCGTGATCCTCAACCGAAATTTGGGGTAAAATCTAACAGAAAAATTATGTTCATATCTTAACTAATTCAACCCTCTATTTATTAGGTCTTGCCAAATTCTACCCTCAATTAATTTCCCCAATTCAATTAACCATATTTATTTTTGGAAATTTTGATTTTTATGCTTAATATATATATAGCTGCATATATTAGAACATTTTCTTTAAAGAGAACATATATGAACCATAAGGAAACAAATAAGAAAGGTTAAAGATGTTACAAGAAGTAGGATCAGATAAAACAATACAAAACTCAAATAACAGATAAGAATGCACCACCTACGATGAAAGCAAAGAAGACGAACACAACCACCAAAAACTACCGAGCCCCGAAGAATAGACCAAACGAACCTCAACAATATTAACCTTCAAACTGTAGATGGAATTCCAATTTGATCCAATACTAAAAGCTAAAAAAACCATCCTTACCGTGTAAGAGCACCAAAAACTTTCTGTTTTGCAATTCATTATGCACGTCTGTGCTTGAATATAGTGTGCAGTTGTGTCAGAACCTACAGGATTTTCTGTTTTACATAACTTTGTTGTTTAGCTGAATTTTCAACAGTTGCCGAAGAGAAGGACCGACCTCACCATCAAAAGATTTAACTCCATAAAATGAAAGCTCTTCAAACACTTGACAAAATAGTGCTCGAAGGATTCAATCTGCTTTGAACATATTAAAACTATGTTTTTAATGTCACTACAACAAAATTGGGTTTATAGAACGCTCCCAATCTCGAAGTGTCTCAATATACCGCTTTATATAACTTAATTTATATGACCAAAATATAAAGCGTCCTATCTAAAGACGTTGTAATAAGTTTACACGACGCTTTTGGACGTCTTAACAAGTTTTTGAGAACATTTTTAATACAAAAGTGTCACATTAACACCTTAATAGGACATTTTTGAGAAATTGTCCTATAAAATCAATTTTTTATAGGACACTTGTTTTTATATAACTAATTTTCAAATAATGCCCTATAAAGTTGATAATGAGACGCTTTATATTAAAAGTGTCATAAAAAAACTTATTACAACATCAAAAAACGTCATATAAGCTTAATACAATACATTTAGATATGACATTTTATTTTTTTGGTCCTATAAAATAAGTCCTATAAAGAGCTCTATTAGAACGCTTAGAATTTGGAAGCGTCCTATAAACCCGATTTTGTTGTAGTGTGTTCAACAAATGAAAATCTATGTTCAATTTTATTTTTATAAAATACACGCCCCTTCCTAAAACTCCCCCATCTTGTTATCTCTAGTTTCATGTTTTCTCTTTTCTCCTAACGATCTTTCTCTTTTTTACTCATTTTCTCTTACTTTCTTTTCCTCATGACAATAACAAGTAAGGTCGTTGAGGTTGCTCTAATTTATAATGGTTAGAGAATGAACTAAGAAAAATAGATGAAGATCAACAACGTTTAATTGAGACATCAAAACACCCATTTGTACGACTGTACCAGTTGTAACAAAACATGGAAAAGGGAATAAAGATATCGGAGATTAATGTTTAAGTTTGACAAATATGGTATAAGACACGGTATGAATAATCCAATCAACTTTAACTGAATATTCAAGGTTTTACATGGTATTTTTGCATCTTTTTGTTTAATCTTTAGATACAGATATAGGTATTGTTTTTTGGTGTATGTATTTAATGGAGAGAGATGATAACAATGCAGAGCGATTGGCCATACTGTTGATATATGGAATATGTACATAATGGACATTAGATAGCAACTCAACTGAAGTTCGATATTGCTGAAGATACCAAAAGGGATCGAGGAGTTGTTGGAAAGCCTAATATGTGTTGTCAGGTAGACATTCTCATTCAACTATCAACTGAGATAAGTCGATCACTCGCTCTTGATGTGCGTTAAACTCTATGAAACATATAACTAAAATCAATGTATTTATTTATCCATAATTCCCGTTATTTTGGAGGTTTCTCCACACATGAAAATGTATGCTTTCGGACAGTTGTCGTTTGTTGCAGATGTGGGAGTCTAGGAGAAGCTTGGGAAAAGGGTCAATAAAAACAAGTTCTAAAAAGAAGAGAAACGTATGGCTATTGAAAAATGAAGCATAGTTGTTGGGACTTCCGCCTCATCGTTCCCTCGAGCCGGTCAAATCCGCGATTCTTATACCCAACGCTCATGTAGCAATGCAGGAGCATCCCACATTGGTGAGGCTAGGGGGATTCATCTTCCTTATAAGGAAGGGGGGATCTTACTCCTACCAGTGACGCGTTTTAAAGCCGTGAGGGGTTGTTGCCGAGAGGGGCAGTCCAAAGCGGACAATATCATGTGGGCGGTTCCCTAGTTTTCGGTCCAACAATTGGTATCAGAGCTAGGGCCGCACCAATGTGGGGGGGGGGGAATGTTGGGATTTCCGCCTCATCGTTCCCTCGAGCCGGTCAAATCCGCVATTCTTAWACCCAACGCTCMTGTAGCAATGCAGGAGCATCCCACATTGGTGAGGCTAGGGGGATTCATCTTCCTTATAAGGAAGGGGGGATCTTACTCCTACCAGTGACGCRTTTTAAAGCCGTGAGGGGTTGTTGCCGTGAGGGGTTGTTGCCGAGAGGGGCAACCCAAAGCGGACAATATCATGTGGGCGGTTTCCTAGTTTTCGGTCCAACAATAGTTTTCAAATAGTTGAATATTAAATTATGTTATTGATATATCAGGCTACGTAAAAGATAATAATAATTCAAATTTCCCTTTATTTTTTCTTTTAGCTTTTATTTTGATTTCATAATTTACTACCCTAGTTTCAAATACAGGTTCTTTGCCTAATAGTCGTTAAAAACAATTAAAAGATATTTTTCTAACGGCATAAATTAAGTTCAGAAAATAAAGTATGATTGGCCTCTGATGCCAACCTAGATGTCGACCATACATACTACTACTATTAGCAATTATGACCATTTAAGTCAATGGCCACCATGTTGGGTGTGACTTCGTACTAAGTCTACGAAAAATTGAATTAGGCCTAAGATTTATTATTATTGATTTACAGTTGAAGATTTCTGTTAGGTATTTAAAATTTTCATCAATATTTTTGTGCAAACGTTTGACATCATTTTCTTGTTTTGAAGTTAGCAACTCAGAGTCGTCATGTACTAATTACTCGCCACCAAGGCACAATGTCATTAAAGCACCATGATTTGTAAGCGTTGTCACTTGAGAGGTCAATTTTAATTTCGTTCCATCACAAGGAATAAGAATTCACCAACGCCATCTTCGAAGTCAAAAGGGATTATTATTGACCAACACCAGATCGTCTAATGAACATTAGATGGTTACCCTTTTTGTTTGAGACTCTTTTTCGACGTTAAGGGTGCGTTTGGTACGTGGAACAGGGTGGAACAGGACAGGACAGGACACACTTGTCCCACGTTTGGTGTGTTTTTAAGTGGAACTAACTGGAACTAACTTGCACACACATGGGACACGGGTGTTCACCCTCTACCCCTGGAACTAAGTGGAACAGACTTTTTTTTTTTACTAATCTACCCTCCATCGCTCCTCCATGCTCGCTCCTCCATGCTCAGACTCCATCTCACTCACTCCTCCATTCTCAGACTGCCTCCATCGCACCCTCATCGTGCGTCCTTCCCCATCGGCGACGGCGACGGCGACGGCGACGGGAGGTTTGAATCGATTTCCTTCTCCATCACTCCTCCATGCTCACTCGCTCCTCCATGCTCACTCGCTCCTCCATGCTCAGACTCCATCGCACTCGCTCCTCCATTCTCAGACTGCCTCCATCGCACCCTCATCGTGCGTCCTTCCCCATCGGCGACGGCGACGGCGACGGCGACGGCGACGGCGACGGGAGGTTTGAATCGATTTCCTTCTCCATCGCACCCTCCTTCTCCTTCATCAGGTACACGATTTCCTTCTCCATCGCTATGAATCGATTTAGGGTTTGCTGGTTGCTTTGCTTGAATCGATTTAGGGTTTGCTGGTTGCTTTGCTTGAATCGATTTAGGGTTTGATGGTTGCTTTGCTTGAATCGATTTAGGGTTTGCTGGTTGTAATGCTTGAATCGATTTAGGGTTTGAATCGATTTATGGATCTGTTTGCTGTRRAATTGGGTTTTGATCGAAATTTGTCACTGTAAAATTGATTGAAGTTGTATAAAATCGATTTAGGGTTTGAATAATTTAATAATTGATCTGAATYGATTTAGGGTTTGCTGTAAAATTGATTGTCACAGCTCTAGTTTGTCACTGTAAAATCGATTTAGGGTTTGAAATTTGTCATTGTAAAATTGGGTTTTGATCATGGTGGTTAGAATTCTAGGATTGACTCAGTAGGGGTAAATTGGTCATTTTAACCAGTTCTGTCCAGTCCTATCATGTCTTACCAAACGCTGAACAGCTGTCCTGTCCTGTCCTGTCCTGTCCTGTTCTGTCCCGTCCTGTCCTGTCCTGTCCTGTCTGCGTACCAAACGCACCCTAAGAGGACTACCCATGATCAAAAGAAGAACAATTATTGTCTTGGAAATGCAAATGTTTTAATGGGTTTTCTGATAAACGTAATGAATATAACAAGCCCTGTAAAATTCTAAATTTTTAGTCACATTCTCTTTAGAAACTGTACATATGTCAACATCTTTTAGATACAAAAGGCCGGCACATATGCATTCATCTTAGCTTATTTGCATATACTAATAGTGTCTATTAATTTTACTTAGCACATAATTTAATAGAAGAATATATATATATATATATATATATATATTACAGAATTTTAATTCGTCAATCTTTTACAGGTCCATAATTTGCTAAACAAATGTTATAAAAGAATTGAGATAGTAAAAAATGATCAGTTTTATGAAGTTTCATGAAGACTAGAAGTTGATTCAACCCCGCCGTTTAAGTGGGTAGTTCCAACCGTGGTTGGGTTCAAGTCAACCGTCGTGTAGGTCTTTAAACTCTAGATTCATGTCGATTTAAACAACAATTACTATTATA